AATATTTTCTCAGTCCCTTTCTTTTTCTCTTCTTCTTCTGGAACCCCTATAATTCGAATGTTGGTGCGTTTAATGTTGTCCCAGAGGTCTCTAAGACTGTCCTCAGTTCTTTTCATTCTTTTTTCTTTATTCTGCTCTGCAGTAGTTATTTCCACTATTTTATCTTCCAGGTCACTTATCCGTTCTTCTGCCTCAGTTATTCTGCTATTGATCCCATCTAGAGTACTTTTAATTTCATTTATTGTGTTGTTCATCGTTGCTTGTTTCATCTTTAGTTCTTCTAGGTCCTTGTTAACTGATTCTTGCATTTTGTCCATTCTATTGTCCATTCTATCTCCAAGATTTCGGATCAACCTTACTATCATTATTCTGAATTCTTTTTCAGGTAGACTGCCTATTTCCTCTTCATTTGTTAGGTCTGGTGCATTTTTATCTTGCTCCTTTATCTGCTGTGTGTTTTTCTGTCTTCTCATTTTGCTTATCTTGCTGTGTTTGGGGTCTCCTTTTTGCAGGCTGCAGGTTCGTAGTTCCTCCTGTTTTTGATGTCTGTCTCCAGTGGCTAAGGTTGGTTCAGTGGGTTGTGTAGGCTTCCTGGTGGAGGGGACTAGTGCCTGTGTTGTGGTGGATGAAGCTGGATCTTGTCTCTCTAGTGGGCAGGTTCACATCTGGTGGTGTGTTTTGGGGTGTCTGTGGCCTTATGATTTTAGGCAGCCTCTCTGCTAATGGGTGGGGTTGTGTTCCTGTTTTGCTAGTTGTTTGGCATAGGTTTTCCAGCACTGTGGCTTGCTGGTCGTTGAGTGAAGCTGGGTGCTGGTGTTAAGATGGAGGTCTCTGGGAGATTTTCGCCGTTTGATATTATGTGGAGCTGGAAGGTCTCTTGTTGACCAGTGTCCTGAAGTTGGCTCTCCTACCTCAGAGGCAGAGCCCTGCCTCCTGGCTGGAGCACCAAGAGCTTTTCATCCACACGGCTCAGGATAAAAGGGAGAAAAAGTAGAGGGAATTAGTAGAAGTATGAGGAAAGAAAGAAGGAAAGGAGGGTAGGAAGGAAGGAAGAAAGAAAGAAAGAAGCAAAGAAGGAAAGAAGACAAGAAGGAAAGAAAGGAGGGAGGGAGGGAGGGAGGAAGGAAGGAAGGAGGGAAAGAAGGAAAAAAGACAGACAGAAAGAAGATACAGTAAAAATAAAATAAAGTATAATAAAGTTATTGAATTAAAAAATTCTTATTTAAAAAAAAAAGGGACGATAGAACCTTAGGACAAATGTTGTAAGCAAAGCTATACAGACAAAATCTTACACAGAAGCATACACATACACCCTCACTAAAAGAGGTAAATGGGGAAAAATCATAAATCTTGCTGTCAGAGACCACCTCCTCAATTTGGGATGATTCGTTGTCTAAAGGAGGGAAGGAAGGAAGGAAAGAAAGAAAGAAAGAAAGAAAGAAAGAACGAAGGTAAAGTATAATAACGTTATTAAAATTAATTATTAAGAAAAAAAATTTAAAAAAAAAACATGGACGGATAGAACCCTAGGACAAATGGTGGAAGCAAGACTATACAGACAAGATCTCACACAGAAGCATACACATACACATTCACAAAAAGAGGAAAAGGGAAGAAATCATAGATCTTGCTCCTAAAGTCCACTTCCTTAATTTGGGATGTTTGGTTGTCTATTCAGGTATTCCACAGATGCAGGGTGTATCAAGTTGATTGTGGAGCTTTAATCCGCTGCTTCTGAGGCTGCTGGGAGAGATTTCCCTTTCTCTTCTTTGTTCTCACAGCTCCCAGTGCTCAGCTTTGGATTTGGCCCTGCCACTGCGTGTAGGTCGCTGGAGGGCGTCTGTTTTTTGCTCAGACAGGATGGGGTTAAAAGAGCCGCTGATTCGGGGGCTCTGGCGCACTCAGGCCGGCGGGGAGGGAGGGGCACGGAGTGCGGGGCGGGCCTGCAGTGGCAAAGGCCGGCGTGACTTTGCACCAGCCTGAGGCGCGCTGTGCGTTCTCTCGGGGAAGTTGTCCCTGGATCCCGGGAACCTGGCAGTGGCGGGCTGCACAGGCTCCGCGGAAGAGGGGTGTGGAGAGTGACCTGTGCTCGCACACAGGCCCCTCGGTGGCGGCAGCAGCAGCCTTAACGTCTCCCGCCCGCCTCTGGGGTCCGCGCTTTTAGCCGCGGCTTGCGCCCGTCTCTGGATTCCGCGCTTTCAGCCGCGGCTCGCACCCGTCTCTGGGGTCCGCGCTTTCAGCCGCGGCTCGCGCCCGTCTCTGGGGTTCGCGCTTTTAGCCGCGGCTCACACCCGTCTCTGGGGTTCACGCTTTTAGCCGCGGCTCACTCCCGTCTCTGGAGTTCCTTTAAGCAGCGTTCTTAAACCCCTCTCCTCACGCCCCAGGAAACAAAGAGGGAAGGAAAAGTCTCCTGCCTCTTCGGCAGGTGCAGACTTTTCCCCCGACTCCCTCCCGGCTAGCCGTGGTGCACTAACCCCTTCAGGCTATGTTCAAGCCGCCAACCCCAGTCCTCTCCCTGCGCTCCATCCGAAACCGAAACCCGAGCCTCAGAGCCTCAGCTCGCAGCCCCGCCCGCCCCGGCGGGTGAGCAGACAAGCCTCTCGAGCTGGTGAGTGCCGGTCGGCACCGATCCTCTGTGCGGGAATCTCCCCGCTTTGCCCTCCGCACCCGTTGCTGTGCACTCCTCCGGGCTTCGAAGCTCCCCCCTCCGCCTCCCGCAGTCTCCGCCCGCGAAGAGGCTTCCTAGTGTGTGGAAACTTTTCCTCCTTCACAGCTCCCTCCCACTGGTGCAGGTGCCGTCCCTATTCTTTTGTCTCTGTTTTTTCTTTTTTTCTTTTGCCCTACCCAGGTACGTGGGGAGTTTCTTGCCTTTTGGGAGGTCTGAGGTCTTCTGCCAGCCTTCAGTAGGTGTTCTGTAGGAGTTGTTCCACGTGTAGATGTATTTCTGGTGTATCTGTGGGGAGGAAGGTGATCTCCGCGTCTTACTCTTCCGCCATCTTCCACCTTCCCCTTTGATGTGATTTTAAAAGGGGTTGTTTATTTACTTTTCCTTTCTGATATTTCACTGTTAGTGTAAAGAAATGTAACTGATTTCTGGATGTTAATCTTGTATCCTGCTACCATGCTGAATTTATCAGTTCTAGTAGTTTTTGTGTGGAGTCTTTAGGGATTTCTATATATAGTATCATATCAGGCTTTTGATTTCTTATATATAACATCCTTCTTTCCAGTTTCCTTGACCAGTGGGGAATCTTTCTAGTTCCTGTTTAACACACATGGATGCCCTTTGTGCCTCCTACTTTTAGTGCAAATTATATTCTAGTTTCCTGAACATTTGTGCCCTGTGGTCTGGATTCCCCTGCAAATCTTCAACCTTCAGTTTCTGTTCACCCCATCCCTTTAAACTCTCACTTCAGTTTTGACACCTAAAAACTTTCTTTTCTTGGTTTTGAGCTTGACTGGGTATTAAATTATTTTCTGTTAAATGTGGGCCAGCATTTGTTTGTATTTACAGTTGAGGGAGGTGGTGGTGGTGGAGCATAGGGAGGTTTCATCCACATCAGCTCAGGTCCATTAATAGGAGTTCACAGCAGGGCATTTATGAATGAATTTTATGCCATAACATTATAGTAGAAATATTTACAAGTTTGATGATTCATTGCATTTTTTTCCCTAGAATTCTGGCAAGTTGGTGACCCAATAGATAATCATAAGGAAAGCCAAGACAAACCTCTGTGGCAAGCTGCATCCGTTGATAAGGAAACACTGAAGGATGGAAGTGGCCCAAAATTCAGAACATACAGAAAAATCATTTATCCAAGCACAAACTTTGTTTCTATAAGACAAAGACTCCCTAAATATGATTCATGGGGAAAGTGTTCAAAACATAATTTAAATTTTCTTAGTCAAAGTAGAAGCTATGTAAGAAGGAAAGATGATGAATGTAAGGCATATTGGAAATTATGCTTCCATTCTAATCTTGATAAAGCTCAACCTGGAGAGAAATTCTTTGAGCTTAATGAACATGGAAAAGCCTTCCACCATAAGCAATCCCTTAATAAAAGTCCAAGAATTCAAACTGGGGAGAAATTCTATAAATGTTCTGAATGTGGAAAAGTATTTATCCAGAAAGCAAACCTTGTTGTACATCAGAGAACTCACACCAGAGAGAAACCTTATGAATGCTGTGAATGTGCAAAAACCTTCAGCCAAAAGTCAACCCTCATTGCACACCAGAGAACTCATACAGGGGAGAAGCCGTATGAATGCAGTGAATGTGGGAAAACATTTATCCAGAAGTCAACTCTGATTAAACATCAGCGAACTCATACAGGAGAGAAACCATTTGTATGTGGTGAATGTGCAAAAGCTTTTAAGAGTTCATATCACCTTATTAGACATGAAAAAACACACATTAGACAAGCATTTTATGAAGCTATCAAATGTGGTAAGTCCAGCCTTACACATCAAAGGACTCATACAGGTGAGAAACCTGAGTGCAATAAACATGGGAAAGCCTTTGATGAGACGCCCACCCCCATTAAACATCAAGGAACTCATACAAAAGAGAAACCTTATGAGTGCAGTAAATGTGGAAAAGGCTTCAGGGGAAAGTCACACCTTTCTGTTCATCAGAGAGTTCATACAGGAGAGAAACCCTATGAATGCAGCATATGTGGGAAGACTTTCAGTGGAAAATCACACCTCTCTGTCCATCAGAGAACTCATACAGAAGAGAAACCTTATGAATGCAGAAGATGTGGGAAAGCATTTGGTGAGAAGTCAACCCTTATTGTACATCAGAGAACTCATACAGGAGAAAAACCCTATAAATGCAACGAATGTGGGAAAGCCTTCAGTGAAAAATCACCACTGACTAAACATCAGAGAATTCATACAGGAGAGAGACCCTATGAATGCAGTGACTGTAGGAAAGCATTCAGTAGGAAATCAACTCTCATTAAACATCAGAGAATTCATACAGGAGAAAAACCCTATGAATGTAGTGAATGTGGCAAAGCCTTCAGTGTGAAATCAACTCTCATTGTACATCACAGAACTCATACAGGAGAGAAACCTTATGAATGCAGAGAATGTGGCAAAGCCTTCAGTGGGAAGTCAACACTCATTAAACATCAGAAAAGTCATACAGGAGAGAAAACCTATTAAGATGCTTTACTGTGAGATAATTTCACTAGTTACACCTCATTATATTATATATCAATTCATCCTGGGGAGTAACCTTATAAATATCAAAAAATGTCAAAAACTCTTCATATATTATTTAATGTTCATTTAACTTAATAAAAGGCACAAAAGTATAATTCCAGAAGGATATAATAAATGTGATCAATTTTTCACACAGAATTCTTACACAAGTGGAGAACTGTATACCAGAGAATTCAAAAGTGGCAAAACTGTGACTATATTGATGTGGAAAAGACTTTAGAAAGAATTTAAATATTCTTGCCTATCAGAGTATTTATGCTGACCTATCAGATATTTATGCTGAGGAAAAACAAAGAATTTAATGAGTTTAGAAAACTGTGTTAGAAATTATGAGAGAAATATGTTCCATAGTCTATACCACACATTTTGTGTGAAAGGTGCAGAGGTTGCAAACAAGCACTCAATAATTAAGATATGTTCACTGTGGAGTAGAGGATGACATTTTTGAAAGAAAAATATAAAGCAAAAGTTGTTAATCCTAGCTAGGGCAAACTCCCAGTTTACTTCTTAAACAAAATAGAAAAATTGCTTCCTTAAGTGGTGTGACGGAGGATGAGTCATCATGATCCCTGAAACAAAGGAGCTCAAACAGGAGATCTCACACATATTCATCAACACTTTCAGTGCAGAAATGCAAACCCCTTACAGAAAAGGCATATATTAAGCTTTGACACACCTCACTTAGGAACAGTGCTTTTAACTTAATATTTAAGGGTAATCATTTTATGGTTACATTTATGCCTCATTTTATTAGTCAGTAAAAGTTCTTTAATTTTCAGCTTATCTACCTTAACATAATACTATTTAAAATAGAAAAAAAATAAATTGAATATCCAATAGTCAATTGATTAAAAACTGACATATCAATAAGATAGAATAGTATGCACTAATGAAAAATTTTTTCATGTTTGAGGATTTGGGGAAATGTTCATGGTAATTGGCTAAGTGAAAAAACATAAAACAATGTACCACATAGTTTACATTATAAAAAAATACATCAAGGATGGATAATGCACCATTATATCAGTGACTCTGGATGGCAGAAAAGTAGCAGTTTTATGCTGAGTAAAATTATTTGCACATATATATGTATACAAATATATTTGTTTTATATTTGTATCTGTTGTAGGTGTGTGTGTATAGGTAGACACAGAACAAAAAGCTCGGAAGGAAATACAACAAATTATTAAGCAGATTATCCAGATTATCGTTTGGGTGGTAGGATTATTGAGTTTTTAATTTTTTAAATGTCGTCTGCAGAAACTACCCATAAAATGATCTTGTGCTTAGTAGATTCTGTCTTCCAATCCATTTTCCCATTCAGCTTTGTCTTTAATATGTGACACAATTCTCTTCTTAAAATGACCCCATTTTCACATATGTCTATATATTCCCTATTCCTTTTCCATGTGGTTGTCTGAGTGTATGGTTTTGAGTATATGTTTTGCATCTTAAAAATGGGTATCCTGTGATTATAATATCTGTATGTGATTTTTTTGGGTAAAAATAAGTTATCTCCATAGTTCTTTACACTGTAACCACTGAATACTGTTACATAAATTATCAGCTAACAAACTTTACAGGTGAGGAGAGAGGTAGTAAATGGTCCAACTGATAAGTATATGAATTCCAATTATACACTAGAAGACTGAGGAAATCACCACTGGATGGGTCTGCATGTGCAGTGGGCCACTGTGAATCAGGTTTAAGCGAGGACTCAGTGTAACACCTGTACCCAGTAAGCCCCCACTCTTAACAGGAGGGCCATGGTGATGCTTTGCATATCTGGGTATTAATGTCAACTCAGAAAGCTGTGTCCAATAGTCCTAAAAATATTCCCTTTTCCCCAATGACCATAGTCACCCAGATAAATGGCCATAGGTTCCCTCGGAAAGGGACTAAGATAAGTATTTTATGTTTGCTACAATGTTGTAGGGTTCTTCCTATAAGGGACATGGGCACCTCTCTAGACAATTGGTTCCAGATCTAAAATTTGGCTCAGGTCTGGGAACTCAGCAAGGGACCCTCACTTTTTAATGAAGCATTTGCCCTCAGACTTCTCTCTTTGAATCTTGCCTTTTTTTTTTTTATTTTTCGCCGTACCAGCTGGCTTGCAGGATCTTAGTTCTCTGACCAGGGATCGAACTCGAGCCCCCTGCAATGGAAACGCGGAGTCCAGTGGTTAGTCCCTGGTTAGGCCAGGGAATTCCCAAATCTTGCCCTTTTCTGATTGTAATATTAAACTGCAATTCTGTTGGTGCCCATCAATCTTACTCCTAGGGATGCCAGGCTCATCATAGACTCATTACAACCAAGGAAAGAATTAATGAGCTTGAGAGAAAGTGTTTAGGCTTGTACCATTCAATATGGTGTTGGCGTTTTATAAATGCCCTTTAACAGACTGAGGAAGTTCCTTTCTATTCCTAGTTTATTAAGGGATTTTTTAAAATCATGAACATATATTAATTTTGCCATATTATTTTCCTGTAACCATTGAGATGATCATATGCTTTTGCCTTTATTCTGTTAATATATTTAATTAAATTGAATTCTGAATGTTAACCTTGCATTCATTTTCAAATATTATTGGATTCCATTTGCTAAATATTTTGTCAAGGGTTTGTACATCAATATTCATGAGATTTATTGGTCTGTACTTTTCTTTCCCTTTAATTTCTTGGTCAGGTGTCAGGGTAATGCTGGTCTAAAAAACTTGCTGGGAATTATTTCCTCCTTATTTTCCTAAAGGGTTTGTATAGGATTGATATTATATCATTATAAATATTGGAGGACAATCTCCATGAGACCATTCTCACTTGCCTGGTAGAGCTGAAGGCCACTAGCAAAGCTTTTTTTTTTTGTCCATCCCAACTCCAGTAAACCAGGTAGGATAATTTCCCTGAGGTTAAAGACTCTGCGTTTCAGACTTCGAGGGCACACAGTATGCCAAGTAAAGAGGAAACATCACCCCTCCATCTGCTTGTCTTCTGATGAACACACAAATGCCCAAGAGATGGGGAAAGTCCCAACAGCTTCCAGAAAGGAGAGGGAGGAGGAAGGAGACAAGGCTGGGCACGTCTCCCTAGCCACCCAGATGCTGGAAGGTGGAGACGGGATCTACAGAACAGCAGTGGCTGCCTCTGTCTGAACCCCAAGAACAAGGGGCTGCAGAGGGGCAGCAGGTGGGGCATCATGTGGATATCACAGCAGCTCGTTCCATCAGACCCGAATTGTGTCCCCAAGTCTGGGGTTTCTGAGAAGAACTCCTGGGCGCGCCCCCGAGGCCAAGCTCTCCCTGACCCACCAGGTCCCCTTGCCCTGGCCCAACTGGCCCGGCACGGGCTCACCTGGACACCTCCGTGTTGGGCTTTCTCCAGCTGCCATCCTGGCCTCCTCTTCTCCTTGTCCCAACCTGAAGGTCCTACCTGGTTGGGCCACGAGGAATCCTGTTAAGGGGAAATGACAGAGGACTTTCTAATTGACACATGAGGCATTCCGGAACCGAGGCCCATCCTTGCAGGGCAGAGATGGTCTGGCCTCGGTGACTGCCCCGTGAGCCCAGCTAGTGGACCCTCAGTGCAGACCATCCACAAAGAAGGTGAGAGCACAGACATCCCGTGTAGGGTGCAAACGCCATTATGGATTCTTGACCCTGAGCCTGAGGCCCGATTCATTCAGGGCCCAGACGCCCCTGAGCTGCAGCAGCCGACAGAGAGGGAGCCCCGGGGGGTGCGTTCCAGTCACCCTGTGAAGGGTCCCTCACCCACGGAGACAAGGTGGCTGTAGTTCTCCAGCATGACATCCTTGCAGAGGTTCTTCTGAGTCGTGTCCAGCTGCTGCCACTCCTCCAGGGTGAAGTCCACAAACACATCCCTGAAGGTCAACATTTCCTGCAACAGCACACTCCTCCTTAGCCCACTGT